CGGCTGGAATTTTGAATTAATTTTCCACCCATTCCGCAAATTTCGTATTGAGCCTTTCGGATGGGGAGTCTTAGACGATTTTGCACTTTCGAGGTGATGAATTTTTTTTGAGAACCTTGGTCGATGAGAGCTCGAACCTTATGCAGTACTCCGAGATGCTCTATTAAGACGAGAGCTGTTGGAAGTAGAGTTTTTCCTTCGTTTACTGTGTGCATGGATTGCACCTGTGGACTATATGTATTGGCGGGTGACTTAGAATTGTTAGTCGCGTTTGTGGGTGTTTGTGATCTGTCATGGTTTCCTTGAGCTGTCGGATTTCGTGTTTCCTTCGGGTTTTGAGTTTTCCTGGATCGCCTTAGTGTTTGGCGGTTGGATGCTTGCGATACATTTTTTTCCTGTTGGCTTTAATCATTATGAGTGGTCACATGGAGTAACGAGTGATGGTTTCTATGGCAAACTGCGCACGTATTTTGACTTGAGCAGTCGCTTCTTAAGTGGAAGAATGAGAAGCAGTTTTCGCACAGCTGATTTTCTCGGACCACCTTATATTTATCACGCACAGACAACTTCTTGAATTCGAAGCAAAATCTAAGGGGATGATTTCCATCGCACATAGGACAAGGGTTCGTCGTGTTGCTTTCAACATAAAAGTTTTGAGTCATAACAGAACTTCGATTCAGAACAAACCCGGGCTTGATTTATTTCATGCCGTGAAGTCGCTCTACTACCTCATATCGTTTTGCAAGAAATTCGTTCATTTGCTCCCAGGTGTGGAGGTCTTTGCGAGAAATAAGGGATTGTTCGCACGAAGATAACGTTTCTTGGTCCCAATTCTCTGTCGGGACGCCTTGAGAATTTAAGACAGACAGAGAATTGTTGATGGAATTTTGAAGTGTCTGTAATGCTTCGCTGTTTTCAAAATGCACTTGGGATAGAGTAAGAAGAGTTTTAATCTGCTTGTCGACCAGGATGCTTTTGTTTTCATATCGGGACTTGAGGGCATTACATGCAAGCGTAAAGTTTTCACCACAAAGACCGAATTGTTTAACCAGGGCTCCGGCTTTTCCGGTTGTTTTGTATCGGAGATGATACAATTTTTGGGCAGGGGTAAGTTTGGGGTGATTAATATAAACTGCCGTGAACATGTCACGGAAGGATGGCCACTCTTCGTAACCTCCGGAGAAAGTTTCGGTGTCACAGGGATGTCCCACATGAGCACATAAAGGTATTTTCCTGCTCCTTTACCGGAAAAGGGGGTTTCTCTGCTAGACGAGACGTTTCGCACATTTGGGCCATCTGCACGTCCATAAGATCCGAAATTTGGGCCTTGACGTTGTGTGCCCGATCCTGGCACAGCTCCATTTTATTCCTGGCTACTAATTTGAACGTTGGGGGTAGTTCGCCATCTGCAGCCAACGATACATTCCGATATGCTCGCTTAACTTCCGCATAGTATTCGTCTATGTCCTCCCGGTAAGATTTCAGCAAGGGTATGGGGAGTGAAGAAAATTTGGTACAGAAATATACCAAATTGTCAGCCTCAAATATGAAAACGCTCATATATGGGTCTTATTCGCGTTCCTTTTGGTTACGTGACGCCGTTACACTCCGCGTTACCTTGTTTGGAACTGCCCCTTGGTTTTCCGAGTGAATATCTATCTCCGGAGTCTTTGGCGCATCAGTTTGGTAAAAAACTCGCCATCTAAGGAGTTCTTTTTTGGGCTTCTTTCGAGAGGCATTATAAAAGAGTTGGAGTGGATACGCGAACGAGAAATCAAACAACGGAATTTGCGGAAATAAGTGAATAGTTTTCTGTTTTATTGAACAAATTTACCGTATGGGAAAGGGTTATCAGTGACGTGTGACAAAATTTGTTTTACAAGAGAAAAAAAAGTTTTTTTTTTCAGGGTGCTAGAAATATACTTGGTTTTCGTTGAGGGGCAGAAAATGAAGAGAAACTAAGCAAACAGTACCGAAACAGTACGTTAAGCACGGGATGTTTAAGGTATTACAGCATCTAATAATAGGGCAAACGCACTTTCGCTTTACACTTTCGACGTAAAATTTGGTTTCCTTTTGCTGGGTAGCTGAAAGGGGTTATTAAACTTTGCTGGGCCGCAAAATTTACCAAATTACCGAAAAATTCGCACTGATTGCGTTAAAACGTTAAAATTTTTCCGCTTGTAAATTTCCTACTGGGCAGCGTAGAACTTTGAGCAAATTTTTCCTACTGGGTATTTTGTATACATATAAGAGGTATATACATAAGTGCTTATAGATATTGGCTTGCGATTCGGGACTGCAAGTTTTCCAACTACTCTCCAATCACAAAATAGTCAATGGTTTTCTTTTGACTACAAGTAAACCAGCTATTGACTAGTTTGTTTTACATAAATTAGTAACTATCAAAAAGAATGTGGTTTAATATCAGCTACTAAAAAACTAGATTCAAACCCATTATTAAAACAAGTAATTTTCGTCTATTAAAATTTATACATATTTTATTTGTATAGAATTCAGTTCAATGTTTTAATATTTTGGTTTCAATGGAACAGATCTATTAGTTCTTTGCACTGCGTTGAAAATAAAAAAACAAAAAAGCGTTTGATGAATTCATTACATGGTATGTTGCATTTACTTTAAAAACTTTAACGAAAAATAAAAAATTAGCTGTAGTTTTCAGATCCTTAAGCCTACTCTGCATCAAAATAAGTTGGGTTTTAAAACTTCACACCCAAAAATTTTCTTATCATTCTGATTCAAAAGTTTGAAATTTCGATTATTATTTGTAGAGTTTTTAAACAAAGTTTCAATTTCTTTGTATCATACTAGAAAAATTGATTTATATGGTTTTAATTTAAGCATGAAATATCAGGTAATATAACAAATTAGTAAAAGTTTTGGGGGTGAAAAAATTCAAGAGTATTACAAAAAGTTGGTTTTTTGGAACTATTTTCCGTCTCTGTACTCATACGTTAGTATCAAATGTTAGTATACACCTAATTGTAATATAATATTCACAATTATTTTCAGGGAAATATTTTTTCATTAATCATTTAAGAAAATATAGTTCATTCTGTAATACAAACCCTATAAATCAAAGTTTCACATTTTATATAAAGTACACATAAATTCAAAAATTGTTCATCAAAAATTTCAACTTTTTATTCACAATTTCTACAAAGTTTTCCAGTATGCAGTTTTGTAGCCTATTCAATTTAGTAAAACAAAGTGCAAGTTTCAAGTCGCTCAAAATTACCGTTGACTTTTTTTGAGAATTTTTTATGTGAAGGGTGTTGCGGGTTTCTTCCGTATAAAAATAAATTGTAATTTTTCCCTATATGAAAGCAAATGCAACAAAAAAAATCAACGGAAACTTATAGCGACTTGAAAATCGCACTTAGATTTACTAAATTGAATGGGCTACAAAACTGCATACTCGAGAACTTTGTAGAAATTTTGAATAAAAAGTTGAATTTTTTGATGAACATTTTTTGAATTCTTGANAGCGACTTGAAAATCGCACTTAGATTTACTAAATTGAATGGGCTACAAAACTGCATACTCGAGAACTTTGTAGAAATTGTGAATAAAAAGTTGAATTTTTTGATGAACATTTTTTGAATTCTTGAGAACTTTATATAAAGTGTGATACTTTGATTTATAGAGTTTGTATTACAGAATGAACTATATTTTCTTAAATGATTAATGAAAAAATATTTCCCTGAAAATAATTGTGAATATTACATTACAACTAGGTTTGATACTGATCGTACATATATAGCTCATACACATTTTGACTAGGTTTGACTATTTTTTGTTATTTTATTTATGTTCATAATTTTTTTTTTAAGTATATGTAGCTCATTGTCTAACGAAGACTACATATATAAATTGAAATTTCAAACTTGGTACAAAAATGTCAATCTTTTTATCACAGTTCTAAGGTTTTTAATTAGAGGTTCTAGAAACATTTTTGGTACCCTATAAAAGATTATTAAATATAAGTAAAGCAAAGTACACCTTCCAAGTTGCTTAAAATCCCCTTGATTTTGTATACTTTTTATGGAAGAAAGTTCCTAACACTGTAAGCTAAAAAAAATATAAAAAAATCAACGGGATTTTAAGCAACTTAAAAGGTGTACTTTGCTTTACTTATATTTAATAAGCTTTTATAGCGTACCAAAAATGTTTCTAGAAACTCTAATTAAAAACCTTAGAATTGTGATAAAAAGCTTGTGACATTTTTGTACCAAGTTTGAAATTTTAATTTATATACATATGTAGTCTTCGTTAGACCATGAGCTATATTAAAAAAAAAATTATGAACATTAATAAAATAACAAAAAATAGTCAAAGCTTGTCAAAATGTTTATCTGCTGTCTTTTACCGCGGGCTGCAAATGGCTTTTTGAACTCTGACTTTGTGAAAATATCGTTTCTTTATAACTTGTATTGCAGTACGGAGTTCCTGGGTTGGGTCAGGACTAGGGATGTCAGTGGCAAAAATACATCGATGTTATTCCTCGCATCGATGCATCGAAACTTCCATCGATATTTGTCGATGCATCGGAGGGCGTACATCGATGCATCGATACGCATAGAGTTTTCCTCCACTATGAAAATAAAACATTAAGAACCTTTTTCGGCATGTAGTAGTTTTATAGCTCTTAAAATTTTAGTATAAAAAAGCGCAAGTCAGCCAAAGAAAAAATATTAAAAATTAAAGCAGTTGAAACTTGCACTTTATTTTACTAACATTTTATGAGCTATAAACTGCATCTTCCTCTCTATGAACTTCAGACAAAGCGATGTTCGGCCATTCGATGTACTTGAGATGTCAGTTTACAGAAAACATCGATGCATCGACATATTTATACATCGCGTGGAAAATTTTCGATGCATCGAAGCAAAACATCGATATTTTCGATGCATCGAAGGTTTTTCGGCATCCCTAGTCAGGACTATCGATCGCAGCTGTAAAATAGATACGAATACACATTTTTGGCATGATAACGTCAGTGCTGATTACATTATTCAATTTTTTTTGTTAACTTTCCCTTCGTTAGCTCCTTCAGCGCTTTGATCTGTTAAAGACATGAAAAAAGTTAAATATTTCATATATAATAAACTGTAAATATATCTTACAAAAATTGGTCTGCTTGCTCCGCATATTTTTTCGTCGATTTCTTTCAAATCCTCCAATGACTTCAAAGGAAAATATTTAAGCACATCATCAGAAATAGATTCCTGTATATAAGCCGCTTTAGTAATATATTATGTTCCGCAAACGTCCGCATAATAATTTTATTTTGACCTTCCACAATACCTAAATGAATAGGCTAGATACAGAGTATTGTGCGAAACAAAAGGAAAGTTAATTAAGTACAATTTTTTATAATGGTATAATTAGTTCTGCAAGAAAGCCTAATGGCATTCGAATTTCAAGGTTTTTGCAAAAGTTAGAAAAATTCGGCAAAGTTTTCACTTTCTTTCATATTTTTTAGAAAAAATTAGAGTAACTATAAAAATTAGCTACTTAATATTTGCCTTTATTACCCTGAAAGAAAGTCAATTCATATAGTGACTCAAACAAGTGTCACGTGTTGATTTTATTTTAATATTTACAATGTTTTTCAAGTTAAAATTGGTTTTTATTTTTTATTTTTAATATTGTTTATGCTTTAACCAAACCCATGTAAATCAAATATTCAAAATTTATGCAGAATTTAAAAAATTGTGTTAATTTGATGAATTTTTCTGCATTCTGCATAAAATTTTAATCTTTGATTTACGTGGGTTTGGTTTAAGCTTGAACAACATTAATACTATGAAATAAAACCCAATTTTAACATGCAAAACATTGTAAATATTAAAATCAAATCAACACGTGAATGGGGTGTTTTGAGAGAATGATGTTTTGTTGACGTAACTAAACTCATTTCTCAGTGTATACTCAATTATTATTAGAAACTTACCTTTAAGTTCCTGTATTTCCGAATGCAGGTTTTTCATATTTTTGCAATTTTCGCATGATTTTGAATCTAAAAAGATGTAAATATATATACTATATTATTTGATCTAATATACTGTACATATGCTTATGAAAAATGTTACCAAAAAGCCAAAAGCAATACTACGTACCCCTTCCTGGAAGATTTTCATCCACTGCAGCGTTCATCCGAATTAATTACAACGCTTTTATCAACTTGCAATGTTGTGAGTCCAGAAACTTTCAATGTTGTGGATCCAGAAACTTTCAATGTTGTGTGTCCGACACCAAAGCAAAGCTTTGGAAAGTTCCTATAAAAAAGCATAGTGTATAGGGCGACAGCTGTAGTGAATAGGGCGAGGTAGATGACATCTAGATGTCGCCCTATGTACTACGTTTGCTACAGCGGAAATAGACGACACGCCATTTCTTTAAATAAAATTAATTGGTGCTCGTTTGTATGTACATACATATGTAAATGCATGTGTGTGCACCTTTCTATTAATATCGTTGAATTATTTTAATATCTATTGCAAAATTTTATTCAGACAGGACTAAAAAGTAGAAAATAAATAATATAAAAAAAACTTTTTAATATACAACGCTTTTATAAATGGACTAAAAAGTAGAAAATAATATTTCTCAGTCCCATAGAATTTATTTTGATAACTTTTGATTTTGAAATTTTAGCAAAAGTCATTATAAACAATCTATGAAATTGAAAATGAAAAGCGTGGGGCGCATGTAATTAATGAATTAGTAGCTCTAGAAGAAATTTTATTTTTTAACAATCGTAATAAGACCTTTCTCACCACTCCAAGATCTACGAGGTGCATGGGGTCCAGTGGAACTTGATCAATCATATTTATATTCAAGTTTTCGAAAGGAACTTTGTTTAGTATAACATTTTTTTGTGGTGATGAGGGTACTTTCTACATTCAAAGTCAGCATTAGTTATAAGCTCGACACACTGAACAGAATATGTCAACACATTATTTATTTTTCGTGCAACTTGTATACATTTAGAGCATCCATGGGACGACGTGTAGCTGGGTATTCCACAAACAAATGCTTTGGCTGGTGCATGATAAATGATTGCTCTGATTTTAATTTCGATTAATTTATTTCGAACCACCAAACCGTTCTCTAACAAAATTTTAAGTTCGGTAACCACATCAGATATAAAATTTTTAATACAATCCGGTTTGGTTTTACCCAGATACACACCAACAGGAAAAACTGAAAGATTTGGTATGTTTACCACTTTTACCAAAACCAGCCACAATTGCGTTTTTGAACTTCGGTACAAAGGAAGTCCGTCAATATTTAGGTCTAATATTAATTCATCATATTTAAAAACTACATCTGAGATCTTTAATAGCTGCTGCTCAAAACTAATATGGGTGTAAAAGCCAGCGGAAAATGTTTTTATTACCACCGGTCGTTTGCTGTCCTCAAAAGATTTTCCTCATTTAAAATTAGCAAAAGCTCAGCGGAAAATGTTTTTATTACCACCGGTCGTTTGCTGTCCTCAAAAGATTTTCCTCATTTAAAATTAGCAAAAGCTCTTCAAAGCACTTTCGCGAAGGCCTATTTTTAATGTACCAGGCTTTAATCTTTTCTTTTAAAGATTTTGCTGGCNTCCTCAAAAGATTTTCCTCATTTAAAATTAGCAAAAGCTCAGCGGAAAATGTTTTTATTACCACCGGTCGTTTGCTGTCCTCAAAAGATTTTCCTCATTTAAAATTAGCAAAAGCTCTTCAAAGCACTTTCGCGAAGGCTTATTTTTAATGTACCAGGCTTTAATCTTTTCTTTTAAAGATTTTGCTGGCAAGGGCTTGGACAATCAGGGCTAAAATCAGTCACATGAGAATTAACCACTGTGGCCGCAGCCATTGCCTCTGCCACCGCGTCATTTGGGGTTTGCAGTCTTTTCACATACATTTCTTTTTGATTTTTCACTAACCTACTCTGATTTCTTCCACTTCCACCTTTTTTAAACATTTTCACTTAATATTTACTTACTTTTTATATAAATTTCTCGAACGTAGCAAATTTCACTGCTGCGGCGTCACTTTTTCGTTTTCGTTTAATTTTTGGTTTTCATTAAACATCTGATTGTCATGATTGCCATTTGTGCTGCCACATCAGCGATGCTAGCTTGCGGGGAATTTGTCTCGTTGCGGGCAATCGGGGCATGAGCTGCCTTTTGAGGAGAATTTTGACTATTTAATTTTAAACCATTATAGAACTTTCCTAGAGTGCATAGTACTTTTTGTAAAATTTTATTTTTTAGTCACAATTACAACTCTGCTAATTTCGCATTAGCAACTCTATAAAAACATCGGTGTCAGCAAACAAGGCGAATTTAATTGGGAAGTCCACGAACAAGTTAGTTCAATGCACTAGGTCATTGAATTGATCGAACGAACTAGGTAGTTCGAAATTTTAAAAGAAATATTTGCTCCAAGCTGCCGTTTTTTAATTTTACATATTTACATATTAAATATGGCAAATATTTATTCATATAAAAATATGTAATTCAAGAAAGCCGAGTGGAGTAAAGTGTGAAAGGTGCTAGCAAAAGAAAGAAATTCTAAAATCAACTGTAATTTTTAGCCACTAGAATTAAATTGGCTTCTAAAAATTCCGTGTAAAAAGTTGAAAATCTGTATTAATTTTTTTTTAATTTGTTGAATTTTTGAGAGTTTTGCCCAAAGTTTTAAACTTTGACTTATATGGCATATGTTATACAATTAGATATATATTTATAAGAAATTAGTGAAAAAATTAAACATTTAAATATTGTATGTATGTACATTTGTTAATAAATTCAAGCAATTCAATAAAAATTTTTTTTTAATGGTCTTATACCAGTGCGGGGTATTTTACCGAAAATCGCGGAATTTCGTGGTGGCCAAAGGGAAGAAAGAAAAATGAGTTGGCATCCCTGTGCCACATAGACATTTTAATTTACTGACTAGCAANAAATATTGTATGTATGTACATTTGTTAATAAATTCAAGCAATTCAATAAACATTTTTTTTTAATGGTCTTATACCAGTGCGGGGTATTTTACCGAAAATCGCGGAATTTCGTGGTGGCCAAAGGGAAGAAAGAAAAAATGAGTTGGCATCCCTGTGCCACATAGACATTTTAATTTACTGACTAGCACAAGTGGTGCGCGAGTTTTGAATTCCTCTGCATTACTTAAGGACTAATTAGACATCAGTGCATATTTGTTTGCTAAAAATGGGTTATTTTCTACAATTGCCATAAAGTAGTTACCTATAAGCTAGCTATTTTTTGCAATTGATATTATTTACTGCAGGGTACTTACAACTTTTATTACTTTGGGTTAGTAATTTAATAAGCTGCCGGCTTCCTTCGTATGGTTGTTGTTGTTGGTGCTGTTTCCTTCTGTAGTCACCTTTTGTGAATTTTTCAGTTTTATGTGTTTTGATTATTGCTTTATTTCTATTTTTTCCCAGTTTTTGTCTCTTGTTTTGAATTTCAGGTTTTTTGGTTCAACTATGGTGCTAAAGGACCAATGTTTAAACACAAGTTGTATACACTTTTCCAATGTTCACGAATGTATTTATTATTCCATGTACAACTCACTTTATTCGTGTTATCATTAATTCAAAATGTAAAAAAAGTAAGCACAATTTCAGAGATTTAATGTATAAATTAAAGATTAAGTAAACACCGAAAACCGCCGAAATATATTATTTGTTATAATCAAAAAACACCAGAACAGTCACTAGGGATGTGTGTATCGAATCGGCAAAGCAGTCATAAAGGCCCCTACACACGATACAACTGTTTGGATAAAAGGGATTTAGCCAAAATCTATCAAAAAATCTNAAAACCGCCGAAATATATTATTTGTTATAATCAAAAAACACCAGAACAGTTACTAGGGATGTGTGTATCGAATCGGCAAAGCAGTCCTAAAGGCCCCTACACACGATACAACTGTTTGGCTAAAAGGGATTTAGCCAAAATCTATCAAAAAATCGATAACAAAGTCGATAGCAAAATCGATTACAAAGTCGATAACAAAACCGGCAAAGTATCGATAAGCTCCGAAAATATATAATATAAAAAAATCAATAACGATATCGATAAAAATTTCGATAACAAAATCGATAAAAATATCGATAACAAAACCGATAAAAAATATAGATAGCAAAATCGATTACAAAGTCGATAACAAAACCGGCAAAGTATCGATAAGCTCCGAAAATATATAATATATAATATAAAAAAATCAATAACGATATCGATAAAAATTTCGATAACAAAATCGATAAAAATATCGATAACGAAACCGAGAAAATATCGATTATTACATCGATAAGTCCCGAGAATCCCGAAAGTCTCTAAAATCCCGAAATAGTTCCCAGATTGAGTCTCTGTGCCTCTATCTATAACCTTTTCTCTACAACTACCTTTATTTTAATATTTCTTCCTCTATCTTCATCTATATCTACTTTTATCGGTATTCGCATCCTCATATTTTTCTTTATATTTATCTTTGTTTTTATTTTTATGTTTATCATATTTTTTATATACATATTCCGCTTCACCTTTTCCTTATATAAGCAAAGTGTTTAAAATTTACTTTGGTCTTCATTTTTGCCTTTATCTTTACGCAACTTTGCTTTTGTTTTTATTTTTACCTTTGCCTTTATCCTTTTCTTTATCTATGTGCGTACTCACCTTTACTTTTATTCTTGGATTCGTCTTTTTCTAAGTGTTGTTTCAGATCAAAAAGTTTTCGCGAATTATGCATGCATGTGTTCATACATATATGTATGTACATATATAATATGTATAGACATACATATATAGTTTACTAAAAAATAGAAACAGATCCACATTAACTGCAATCAACATATGTGCGTATGTATGTATTTACATACATTTACATTATACATTCGCTGCGATTAGGTTATAAATATTGCGCCATCTGTTTATCAAAAATCGAAATATGTACTTACGCACACATACATACTTTTGGTCTCCTTCCCTCACTTCCAACGTGCACGTGTTTTCAAAACGATGACGAAGTGATTTTGTATGGAAAATCATTTATGCCGATATATTTGAATCAAATAAAGATACTTAGAAGATATCATCCAATACTTCCCTTATACCAAACGAAA